TTTTTGACAGATCCTTTTTCGGAATTACGGTTCAAGTCGGAATTGAAATTGGGCTTGTTTTTGGGCTTATTAGGGTTTTGGGCCGAACTGGGCCGGTTTCCACTTGGGCCTGACCCATTGGGTCCTGCTGACCCGGATCCTCCACCCGACCCGGATCCATTCCGATTAAAACCTCCTGAGTCGGAGCCATTTGAACCCTTCCCCTTTTTTTCCCCAATTCGTCTTCCCCGACGATCCAGAGCTTCCACCGCCATCACTTCTCCATCCACCACCACCACTCGTTCTAGCCATCAACGCTTTTTGTTGCCCGTCTCCGCCTTCATCTGCTTTGATTCTTTCTTCATACGCTTTCAGACGCCCTACGACGTCATCGAAGGTTACTGTCTTCAAGTCTAGTACTTGCTCGAGGGAGGCAACGATTTGTATGAATCGATGAGGTACCACCGTCAAGTGTTTCTTCACGAGTCTCGTTTCTCCGATGGGTTCTCCCAGTGACGCTGACTTCGAGGCGATTCCAGCGAGTTTTCCGGCGAAAGCGTCTATCGTCTCTGTCTCCTGCATCTTCAGTCGGTCTAGATCGGCGGTGAGGGTTTGAAGTCGAGCTTCTTTTACTCTGTCGGCTCCAACATGTCGAGCCTTAATAGATTCCCAGAGGACCTTTGCTCTATCGACGTCCCCTATCTGCATTATCAGGCTCTCAAGGATTGCTTGATACAGCAATCCCATGGCAAGGTAATTTTTCTCTTCATTCTCTTCTCCTGGTTCAATTACTGACCAGCTTCTATGTATTCGCAGGACTACTTTCATACGGAGGGACCAGACCATGTAATTGGTCTGGTTTAGCATTGGGCAAGCGACTGTGGTTGTTCCGACTTCTTTGATTCTCGTCGGAGGAGCAGCAGCACCCCACTTCCATCATCTTCAATATCGGACATTTTAAACAGATAAGCTTCCTTGATTTCTCAGTTCCCCTTGACTGATTTCAAGGCTCTGATACCAATTCTAATATTGCAATTGTAAAGACACAGACAAATATATATATCAAAATAAGTCTTTGATTGATTGGAAATATAACTCAAAACCAATTACATATATATGTGTATATGTCTATGTATGTTGCTGTGTTTTTGGTGTGTTTAACCTCTTGGTAATACACTGAATATATAGGATTGATAGAATCATTTTAATCCTATAATTAATACACATGAGACCCAACCACTTGTTGGTGTCCCTTACTTTGTTCCAGGAATCAAGTTTACTTTGTTGGAGTGGAAAACATTGGTAGGGTATTAAGGAATTTAAGATTCCAACAAGAAGTGCATTTGTGTGTGAGATTCATAGTGACCGATGTAGGCAAGACAATGAAAACAGCAAAGCAAAAAGGAATACATGTCAGCTGATACATACCAACAAAAAAGTGTTCGTTACCTGATAAATCACCAACCATATGTACTTTTTAATGCATTCTTTTGATAGATTGATAAATTGAGATTGAATTTATTTCATGAAAAAATTATAACAACCAAAAAAAAAGATAATGAAACTACAAGAGACATATTACCTTAGCATATACATTAGATGAGCTGATCTGGAGATGGAATCTTTATAATAGTGAAATAAAAAATAATTGCCTCTTAGCTCATATGTGCAGAAAAAAGAAAAGAAGGAAAACAATTAATATTTTGATAATATATATATATATATATATATATATATATATATATATATATATATATATATATTAGCATTACCAGTTCCAAACTAAAATAAGATCCCCATCATCCAATATTTCGTAAGCATTCTTTATCCAATGGGATTTTTAATAAAAGTTCCATACGTTCAGAAGTATCCTATCCCAATTTTGAATGACTTAATAGCTGATTTGTTCTTTATATTGTCAATTCTAATGATTTTAATCTCAATACACCAAGATAAAGAACCAACAAACATGTTTTTTTACAGAAAACCAAATTTGAAAATTTTGAAATAAACATCTTATCATTGTTTTTGTAAGAAATGAATAATTCTCTCACCATTGAAGAAGCTAGAGGGCCATTCCAACTGCTAAAAAATTCCCATCGTTTCCCCTCTAAAAACCCTGAAAAAAAAAGTAAAATCAAACATGTGGAAAAGGATATAAAAAATGAATCAGAGGCACATCAAGCTTACCACAGGTGAAAACAAACCTTGGCTAATTTCACCATGGCTAATTTTCCCATAGGTAATGAGAAAAAGCATAACCCAAGAACCATATTGAATATAGAATCCATTAGCCCCAAGACTTGTTAGAGGTCTTCGTGAGCATATTGACGCATGTGGGATCGTTTTGCTTGAAATAAATTGAAGAAAGATAGATTACATTTGAATGGAACTTGAAACCAGCTTCTCATGATCTGCTCAAATGATAAAAAATCAAAAACCAGCATCTGAGCTGCAAATCCCAAACCAGTATACGATATTCAAACAAAAATGGCGCAAACACCCAAAACACAACCCTGAAGCAAAATCGAACCATATCTGACCTTCAAACCCACCTGTAGCTTTTTGGGTTTAATCAACAATCAGTTCTGAATGAAAACCCAAAATCGCAAACAATAAAGAAAACTTACATTGCTTCGTTGATATGGCTTTGAATATTCGAGGAATCAGCATTGGTTGTAAGGATGAAGCAATGGTGCATAAATCATCAACCCATGGGACATTAACTATTCTCGACAATTTATGGTCGTGCATAACAGAAATAAATCATCAAGCCATATTACAATAAAATATGGAGTTTTGGTTTGCATATTAGATATGGAAAGTTAAAAAAAGAATACAAAAATTATGGAATCTTGTAAAATTACATAAAAGCATAATACATTTCAACATCTATAAGCTTTTTTGTCCCATTTTGATACATTTCAACAGCATATGCTTGTCTTTCTGCACCATATTACTATTTGTTCAATTTAAAAAATATAATTACAAAGAAATAGAACTCGAAATATACCTATTGTGAGTTGTTGTTGTTAATTCTGTCTGAACCTAGACGACATAAAGTAAACCAAAATCAAGAACCATAATAAACACAAAATATTAAACAAAAAGTACATGTTTAATTGTTACTTCTCGTTTCTACAGCAAAAAGAGTGAGATAGAGGAGATCCGGCTCCATATCTATCCATGGAGTGTATATGTGAGAGAAAGAGAAAAACCTGGTCAGATCTAAAATAATTAACCCAAAACTGCCATCCATATGAACTTGTGTGTTTGAAAAGCAAGTCTGAATGAAAAACCATACCTGATTATATACAAACCTTGGATTGAGGCAGACCTCAAAGATGGTGGCTGTTAAGAGTGAAAATTTAGGGTTAGATGGATGGGTTAGTGGCAGCAGCGGAGGTGGGTTGTGATATCGGAGAGCAACGACAGAGGCGACATCGGCTGGTAGAAACCACCTACAATCCATCAGGAAGACGAAAACCTTTGAAATCGACAAATAAACCAAAAAAAAAAAACTTAAAAATCGCTAAAATTAACCTGAAATTTCAGCAAATGCTTGTAAGTATGTAGTGCTTGCCTCTTGTTTCTGCAAGAGAGAGAGAGAGAGAGAGAGAGAGAGAGAGAGAGATGAAGACATGCGAGGCGGGTGAGTATGTATAGATCGAGCAGGGAAGACAGTCGCGGTCATCGTTTAGGGTTTCCAGATCCAAGCGAGGCTAGGGATAGAGTTTTTGGTGGTACGATTGCAGAGCTCTGGTGGTCCGGTGGTTCGTTGGTGACAGGCGGTTGTGCCAATATTGGTTTTTCAAGGGTTTTTCAAGAGCTAGAGAGAGAGTGTGGGTTTATGTCTGAGAATAGGGAGAGATTCAAATTTTGAAATCGGGTTTACGTGTGACAGTATGAGAGAGAGCGTGTTTGCAGAGAGAGGGTTTAGGTACAGCCTGTCATTGACCGGAGAGGGCAGACAAGCTGTATTTAATATTATACCATGCTTTAATTAAGAGTAAAAGATATATGTTTTATAATATAATATAGATTTTATAAAATATTGACCGGAGAGGGCAGACAAGCTGTATTTAATTGTATACGATGCTTTATAAGTTGTAATTAAAAGTAAAGATATATGTTTTATAATATAATATAGATTTTATAAAATAGTTGATTTTGATTTGTTTGAATCTATTGACATGGATCACTATCCTAACCATTCAAAAGAAATCCAAATGCCAAAAATACATCTCCTTGTTTTTAAGACTTTAGTCTTAAAATATGTATTATAAAGTAGTATATATATATATATAGGTAAAGGTTCACATAAGAACCTCCAAAAGTTAAGAACCCTAAGAACCTATTATTTTTACCTTGAATATATGTTATTTATCGAATAAATGTTAGTAAAGGATATTTGTGTTGATAGCTAAAACACCAAATGGCAAGATTGTAAATTAAACAAAACTTAAGCCCAATTTTTTATTCTATGTCTATTCTATCGGATCATAGATCTAGATCTAAACAAAAACCATTTCAAACAACAAAAACCCTTTCATCTTCTTCAACCATTTAGATGAACACCAACACCTCAAACGTCGTCGATGGCAGCCATCTACCGCCACACCGTCGGCGATGGCCCATCCACCGCCACATCTCATCCTCCGCCTCGACCTCTGGTTACTGCCACAATTTCCGATTTCCGTTGTCGATAGTGTGCCACCGTCGTAACTTGTCTGACAACCGAACACCTCCAGCAAACGAACAACAACTCCTACGATGCACCACTTCCGACTGTTGTATCTGATGGTTTGTTAGGAGATTTATGAATCTGACGACTTTCCTTTACAATTCGTGCTTAGATTTGGTTCGATTGTAGTGATGTGGGCTTCGTCTCCGACACCTAACCTCGCTAGAACTCCTGAAAAACTTGTCTTCCTCTTTTCTCTTTGATCTTCGGTGCTCTAACACTGACAACCTCTTGAGGTCAGATGTTTTTTTATATGCAAGTAATAGTTGAGATCAAGATGAGCTCTGCTATAGTTGTTTCTAATTTCGATTGCTCAACAGATTTGTACAAACAGATTTCTGATATAACGAAGGCAGATTCGGAGAAATTCAGGTTCATTTTTGATGAAGTTGAATGTCTGCATCAACTGGGTAATTAATGCCACCATATCACTTCGTTTGTGTGTTTACACATCTACAATGAGCTCATTTTCTTGGTTGCTTGTCACATTGTTCAATCTAAATTATGTCGCCCCTAAGAATGATAACACTACTAGCAACAAATAATTGTTAACCAGACATGTATTTTGAACAAGTATCTAGATCATTTGGATTCTTCATATCTACATAACCAGTTTCTGATAGATCATGTGTTCTGTTTTGTTTTGTTTCCAGTTCAGAAGCCCAGGGAGCAAGTTGCTGATGCAGAAGCGTTACTGGACATCACTAACACACTCATGACTTCTGTCAAACCACAAAGTAATGAAGGAGTGACTCCATCTGACTTTGTATCTTGTATACTAAAGAATTTTGGTAGAATTGGCAGTGGAAGTGATGGTGCTGATGAAATTAGGAACTCTGTTAGGTGGAAAGACATTGGTATTGCAGTGTCTCATGTTTTTCTCAAGACTGATGGATGCTGCACAATGTAAATCTCTCTCTCTCTCTCTCTCTCACACAAACATACATACACTTTATCTCTAAAGTTATGTTTGTGTATAGCAGGATTGGGCCAATGAACTCTAAAATCAAGCAACGAAAGGTTGTAGAGCAAAGAAAACGTGCAAGATTAACTGAAAAAGCTCGCCCTGAAGAGGTAATTATGCTAACAATATAGAATTAATTTACATTTTTTAATATCATATAAACATGTGTACTTTCTATTGGATTTTTGTAGCTTGCTTCAAGTGTTACAGAAGAGAAAACTGACACTGATAAGAACATGTCAAACCATGTTTGATGTGTTGAGAAGGAACAGAACTGTAAAGCTTGAAACTTTAGTCCTGAATAGAACATCATTTGCACAAACCGTTGAAAATCTTTTTGCCTTGTCCTTTCTTGTTAAAGATGGTCGTGCAGAAATCAAAGTCAATGATAAAGGAGAGCATCTAGTTTGTAAGTTAACAAATAGCATTTCTATAATTTTTTTTAATTAATTCATTAATCACTTGTATTATTTCTTATAGCACCAAGGAATGCTCCAGCTGCTAATGCAGTTGCTTCTAAAGAGGTTTCTTACACTCATTTCCTCTTCAGATTTGATTTCAAAGACTGGAAGGTAAATCCACTAGAATATTAGTTAAGCCTGTATCTGTATCTTTTGTTACTGACTGTTGTGTATTGGATTGACAACTAATGTTGGATATGGTTGAGGCTGGAGTAATGAAGCTTTGATTATTCTGGAGATACTGAAAAAATTGATAAGGTACATATAGCCGATCTAATTTAATCATTTTTTATTTTGCTTGAATATTACTTTTTTATTTTGCTTGAATATTACTTCTTGCTAGCTATCATATACCTTCTTTACATTACTTTTTTTGCTAGCTAGCCTATAGCTTCTTTACATATATTTATTTAGTCTGACATATCATATAACTTCTTCATATTTATTTATTGAGTCTCATATTTATATTTATTTGATGGAATACATACTATTTAATAGAAATTGTTATTAGTTGTTATTAGGTTTTTTTAAAGACTATTGTAATTATAGACAAATCAAATAGCTTAGTGGTTTAATTTAATGATAATTTCGTATTAACATATATAATAAATAAACTTTGAATTTTGAGATTGATTATGTGAAACTTAACAATGTAATACTATACAGCCTTAAAATTTGGTACACAAGGTGCTTAATGAAATGCATTATTGGATTAATATTAAGTCTTTAAACTGTGAATTAGTGAAATTATTGGTTTATCAAATTGTGAATATAACATTTAAGTTGTGAATCCATGATTTTATATATAGATCTAATTTGGATTGAATGATGATTGCATCAGTGGCACAAGTGGTAGGTAACGGCATGTGGTAGTTAGTGATGGTGCACACATGGTGTTTGATGAAATGCCAAAAAAATTTGGAAAGTCATTAAGCTGTGAATATGTGTTTTTATGTGATAATTTGTGAATATGTAAGTTATTAAGTTGTGAATGTGTATTTTTTATGCACCAATTGGGAATTAGTGTCTAACATATTGAATTAAGTTGAGAATTAGTGTTTGAAATGTTTTATTAAAATGTGAATTTTGATTTTTCTATCCAGATCTAATTTTTGAGGGATGTTGGCGGTGTGGTTGGTGGTAGCGATGGTTGAGTAAGGATATGTTGCATTTCTCACTCATCTTCTTCGATGATTTCAGATAAGTTATCCACTTTTATGATTCATGTATATGTTATTCCTTGGATGTTTGCTTTTGAAATATGAGATAATTTATGTATGTATTAATTGTGAATGATATATGAGATTATACTTGTAAATGAGCTTTGAATGTATTGTATTAAACTGTGAATTTTTTTGTATTAATCTGTGAATTTTATTGACAACTTAATATATTAAATTCACAATTTAGTACATAGAAATGCCTCCATACATGAATGTATATATGTAAGTTTTAATTTGAGAATATGACTATGAATATATATTATGTGTATTAAACTATGAATTTGTTACATTAAGCCGTGAATTTTGTGTACTAAACTGTGAATTGACTGTACTAAGAGTTTTAAGTTGATAATATGGTTGTGAATGGATAATGTGTGTATTAAACTGTGAATTTATTGTATTAAGCTATAAATTTTGTGTATTAAGTTGTGATATTTGGGTTTTAAACTATAAATTGACTGCATTAAGCTGTATAATTTCTATTTAAAATGTGAATTGATTTTATTAAGCTATGGATTTTGAGTATTAAATTGTAACTTGTGTGTTTAGAAATATGAATAACTGCATTAAGCTTAAGTTGTGAATTTTTCGTTTAAACTGTGAATTAATTATATTAAATTTTGAACTTTTAATTAACTTTGAGTTAAAATATGAATGATTTGTGTATGATTGTTTTTTGTATTATTGTTCTTGTGATTAAATTGTGATGTTTTAAGGTTTCATAAATTATTTAGTTATGTTAATGTTAGTTTTAACTATTATTAATAAAAAAGTATAAGTTTTATGTTGTGAATACATGACTTTTTTTTTAATTAATTTTAATATGAGAATATATTATTTTTTATAAGTTTTAAGTTTTTTTTTTTAAATCGATCATCTGAATATCTTTTTATAGAGCATACAAGGTGTTTGATTAAATTGTGAATTCTATTTTTTTTATCAAGATTTGAATTTTATACCTATAAAATAGTTGTGAACATAGTGTATTAAACTGTGAATATGTGTTTTATGCATTAAATTGTGAATATGTAAGTTAAGTTATGAATGTGTTTTTTTTATGCACTAACTTGTGAATTAGTGTCTGAAATATTGAATTAAGTTTTGAATTAGTGTATGAAATATTAAATTAAGTTGTGAATTAGTGTCTGAAATAATGAATTAAACTGCGAATTTTGTTTTTTTAATCCTTTTCTGATTTTTTAGGGAATGATGTTGTTGGTGTTGACATTGATGCTTTGTGGTGACGATGGTTGATGGCAACGTATGGTAGACTGGTACTTGGCAGTGTTAATGGTGGCGATCATGGAAGAGTAATAATATTTTCTATTTCTCACTCATCATCTTCGTTGATTTCAGATAAGTTATCATTTTTTATGATTCACGTATATATTTTTCTTTTGATGTTTGCTTATGAAGTATGAGATAACTTATGTATGTATTAAAATATAAATGAGTTTTTCATACACTGAAATATGATATTATACTTGTAAATAAGTTGTGAATATATTGTATTAAACTGTGAATTTGCTGTGTTAAGCTGTAAATTTGTTCACAGCTTAGTATAATAAATTCACAATTTAATAGATAAAAATGCCTCTAGATATGAACATATAACTGTTAGTATTAAGTTAAAAAAAATATAGCCGTGCATATATATTTTTTGTGTATTAAACTATGAATTACTGTATTAAGCTGTGAATTTTATGTATTAAACTGTGAAATGATTGTATTAAGCTGTGAATTGACTTTATTAAGATTTGAAATTTTTATGAATTTTGTATTTGCTTCTGAAATATGAGAAGAAAGAATCATTATACATATATATGATTTTCTCTAATTTTAACAAAATTATATAAAATTTAAATTGTGAATATTATGTACATTAAATTTTGAAAAACACCAACCGTTAGATCTAAATGTATAAATGTATGTTTTAAGTTAAGAATATGATATTTTTATGTATTAAAGTTTTAATTTTTTATATTAAGATTTAAATTTTATATATTAAACGATAATTGAGTATATTAAATGATGAATTGACTACATGTTGCTGTGATTTTTTTTTTAATAATTTTTGTAATAAAATATGAATGATTTATGTAAAAAAATTTGTATTAATTTCTTATAAATATATTTATTTTTAATGTTATATAAGTATGTAAGAATGCCTTAGTTTTATAATTATTTGCATTAAATTCAAAATGGATGAATAAACCAGTTTATTAAACTATGAATGTAGTATTTAACATGTCATTGTCTGACTTTATATGCAGATCTCATTTGGAAGAAAGAGCTGTTGCAATGTTGGCACAGGTGGTTGGTGGCGGCATTTGGTGGTGGTAAAGTTTGGGTTTGATTTCTATGAATTTGAGAATTAGTGTAAAATAAGTTCTGTTAAGTTGTGAATTTTATGTATTAAACTGTAAATGGACTGTATAAAGTTGTATTTTATAAAAGTTTTGTGTTAAAATATAAATGAATGCATGCACGGAAGTATTAGACTAAAAAAAATTACGATTTTGCCATTTTCTTACCAAAAAGCCAAAAATCAGGATTTTAACAAACTTGATAATATTCACAATATATATTTAGTTATTAAATGAGGTTCTTAGGGTTCTTAATCTTTTGTGGTTCTCATTTGAACCACTCCCTATATATATATATATATATATATATATATATATATATATATATATATATATATTATAAATGTTCAGGTTCATTTAAGACCAAGCTAATTTTGTGAGGCCGTGAGACGCAATCCAAAAATAATTTTAAAATGCAAAATAAAAAGAAAAATCCAAATTTCTTTTTTAATTATTATTTCGTCAAAAAATAAATAAAAAGTTACCGTTTTTTTTAAGTACGTGAAATATTCTAATAGATTATTACACTGTAAATATTCTAATGTGATTTTTAGAATGTTAGAATATTCTACAAAATTTGTTAGATATGTAAAATATTTTAATATTCCACTAGAATATTTTAATATTCTACTAGAATATGTAGAAAAACAGTATTCTATTTTTATTTATTTTCTGGTATTTTTTTAATGTTTTTTTGGAAAATATAAATAACGAAAATAATATTTGAAAAAAAAAATTCGAAAATTTTCAATTATTTTGCACTTTAAAAATGTTTTTTTATCTACAAAATGAATGGCTAGGATGGTGTCTCATGGTCTTACAAAATTAAGCCGTCTCACATAAACCTAACCCTATATATATATATATATATATATATATATATGTTCCGTTGAGATTAAAAATAAAATAAAGATCTTTAGATTCAACCTCAGCCACATATTAAACATCTGCCGCTCTAACCTTCCGGCGTAACGGCGCGGTTTGCCTATTATAATCATAAATGATTATATAGCGCCGTTCGTTCCTTTTTCCTCCGCCACCATCCCCAACACCACAACCGCCACCACCACCACCACCACCTCTGACATCATCTGACCCCACAATTGTTATCTCCGTCACTTATACCACCGCCACCTCTGTCACCACCACCTTTTCTGCCACCAACTGTCATAATCATATATGATTATTCAATCTGTGAACAAACATATATGTATAATCATTTATGATTAGACATATACGTATAAACATGTATAATCATATATGATTATACCTCTCTGCCATATAATCATTTAATATTAGGCATACATCGTTGCTACCGGTACGCTGGAGCGTTAGAGCGGCAATGAAAAATATGTGGTTGGGATTGAATCTCATGATCTCTATTTTTTTTAATTTCAAGTGAACCGTCCCCTATATATATATATATATATATATATATATATATATATATATATATATATATATATATATATATATATATATATATATATATATATATGTGGATGTTATTCGGGTTAGAACCGAACCGAACCGACCCGAAACCGAATAACCCGAGAACCGAATAAGGGTAATTGTATGAACCGAAAACCGAACCAAATAAGCAATACGGATTCGGTTCGGTTCGGGTTTTATTCGGTT